AAGTGGAAGACAATGAAATCTGGTAAATAAAGTGTGCGTGCAGAACGGCTGCAGCACTGGTAGAACAGGAAACCCAGTCCTGTCCCGTCAGCGGCAGCGCACCAGGCACGCGATGGGAGTGGCAGTGCCCCTCGGCCTGGTGAGCGCCCCAGCCCAGGCCTGATGACCCCTGAGGCTCACGGCCTGAAATCAGTCAGTAGTGTTAACCAGCGAGCGCCCAGGTCAACCTTGGGCTCCGCTGTTTAAAACCACTGTGCCCGGCTGTGAAACAGCATTTTCCTGAGGAAGCCTAGGGGGCTGTCCATGGTCCATGATCACAGCAAACGTGAGGATCCAAACTCACAAGAAACTTCTATTTGAGTGTTAGGCTATAGAGTGTGAGAAAGCCGTTCCCTTTTTGGCTCTCATATTTTGGTTTCTGGGAAAAGGATATCAAAGATTTAAATTAACTTCTTGTTTAGTAAACAAAAAACCTTTCCACCAAAAACAAAAAGAAGAAAGGTAAGCCGTAGGCCAAGATGTAGCGAAGTCACTCCCTTTCTCGAGTCCCTTTCCGGTGTTTCCCGGTTGCGTTAACCACAAATGTTCCCTCTGATAAGTGTCCAGCCCCACAGCCCAGGGAGGAGGATGAATGCCAGGCGAGAGAACAGCACTGAGGAGCCTCCCAGGGGGCTGTGTCTACATTTATTTCTTACTTTTTAAAAATTTTTTAATTTTTATTTTTATAATAAAATACAATTTATTTCTGCATGTGGTTTGTATCACAAAATTCAGATTGGAGCACTCAGACCAGAAGCATATCTTAGTCTCTACTCAACTCTGACTGGGCATGGCCTGAATCAACCTGATTTGACCTCCCCAATAGTCCCCATTGGGAAATTTTTATCTCTGAGCAAGGAATTTCTGCTTGTAAAAAAATGAACGGTGGAGCCATAGCAGTGTAGACAGGTGATCATTATGAAACAAGGCTATATGATGAAAGTTGAGCTTTTGAATATTTTCTTCAATTAGAAGTCCAGGTTAAATTTCACATGGCTATCTGCACCCAGCTTTCACAATGTCTTATCATAAAACATTTTGTGCTGATGGTGAATTCCAAATAGAGTTGCACAAATAAATACTAAACCCATGTCCAGACCAAAACTAGACAAAGTCCTAAAGCCAAACTGCTTTACACGAAACAAATTCTGAAAATAATCACTATTGCTTTCTTACTTAGTGGCTGACCCTAAGGAAAACAATATTGATTTATAATGAAAAGCCTAGGAGGAAAAAAAAAACAACAAAACCCAACACATGTATGTGCTTATTTTTACTCCACTCCACCAAAACTCTGAAGTGACCAAATAACCTACATGTGCAACTGTCCTTGCCCCGAAAAGCAGTCTTTGTCCACAGCTGCCCTGGGACCTCCGCTCGCCTTCCCCATCGTGCAGGATTCAGGTGACTGACTGCCTGACACATCCTGGCTTCAGAACATGGTTTCCCAAACCACAAGTCTCTAGATTTCCCTGTGGAACAGAATTCCTTCCATGACAATTTTTGGAGCACTGTCTCTAGGCGGTTATACAGAGCTACTTACGGGTGGAACAAGAGGTTGTCGCTGGAGGAAGGGTTCGGGCAGTGTCCAGGGAAGCATGCCGCGAGGGCAGCCTGCGTTTGCCGCAGAGCACCAGATGCTTTGTCTGCACCCACCGCCTTTACAATCGGGGCTTGTCTGCAAGGAGTCCTCAAATCTCTCAAGAATGAAGACTTTGGTGCTATACAGCTAATCCTCAAGAGGGAACTTTCAAGATAGTGGTGCTTAAAAGCAGAAAAAAAAGTTGGACACAAAACAATGCATACAGTACGATCCATCCGTGTTTAATAGAAGAGAAACTTACACACATACTTCCATATGCACCAAACATTTGTAAAATCTGGGAGCCAACTGGCAGAGGCCAGCCATTCTTCCTTTCCAGGGAGGCTTTTACCCTTACAGACACTCCTATATTTTTCTTTAAATCGTAGACATGGATTGCTTTTATGTATTTTTAAAATTTGTATTGTTTATAAAGGCAAAACAAGATGGCGGGAAAAGGACCTTCTGCCCTTGTCTCCGAAAAGTCCATAGAACTACAAGGAAAAGAACAGAAACACAAACTTCAGAAACCACGCCGAGTCAGCAACCTCCCACCCACCACACGAAGCTGGACACGGGCGGGAGCAGTGACGTGGCACAGTGGGTCAGACACCACCATTCAGAGCCTGGGGAGTGTCCAGAGAAGAGGACGCAGGGAGGGGCAGGGACAGGCTGAAGGGGGAGGATTTCACAGCTGGGCTCTTGGGCCCCTGGGAACGCTCCACACACCCCAATAGGTTGAGGAGTCTTGTTGAGAGGAAAGTAGTTGGGGGTCAAGAAAACAGCCACAGGACACCCTCTGGTGGCCGTCCTGAGTGGAGCCCAGCTGTCGGTGACCTTGCTCTGCACCTGGAGCTCAAGTCGCTTGGGGAACGTCAGTGTGAGCCCACATCTGAGAGCCTCCCATGTAAAGGGACGTGGAGGAGACGGGGAGGTAAGAAGAAAGCTTTGCTCCACATTTACTTCTGCAGGGAGAGGAGGGAAGACCCTACATCTGTGAAGCAAGAACGGGATGCTATAACCAACAGAGAGATTGAGAAATTAAAAATGCAATTTGCCAAAATAAAAATGAGTGAAAGCGTTATAACATCCAGGAAATCTCCCAGAAGGTAGGGAAAGAGGAGAGAAAGTATAAGAAAATGACAAGATCAATCCAGGAAGCTTAACACATGACTAAGAGGGACTTCCTTCCAGTAAAAGATAAGAGAGAATGGTAGAGAAATTATCAAATAAATCATTACCAGACCCAAGACCACCAGGTTCCCCACACAATGATTTTTTTAAACTTGACTTCAGCTTTAATTTTATATATATATATTTGTTTAAAACTATTATTTCCTTATTTTTTACTGAGATGAAATTCACATACCTTACCCATTTTAAAGTATACCCTCAGAGGTATGTAGTATATTTAGTGTTGTGCAACCATCACTTCTATCTAATTTCAAAACATTTCCATCACTCCAAAAGGAAATCCCATACCCATTAAGCAGTCTCCCCCACGTGTGCCTCCCCGACCTCCTGGCAAACACCAATCTGCTTTGATGGGTAAACAGCTTTACCCATTCTAGATGCCGTGTGTAAATGAAACCACACAGTACGCAGCCTGCTGTGCATGGCTTCTTTTACTTAGCGTAATGTTTTAGAGATTCACCCGTGTTGTAATATGTGTCAGTACTTCATTCCTTTTTGTGGCTGAAATATATTCCAGTGTATGGATACACCACATTTAGTTTATCCATTTATCAGTTGAAAAACATTGGGTTGTCTCCACCTTTTGGCTATGAATTCTCCTGTGAACATTCCTATATTTGAGTACTTGTTTTCAATAGTTTTGAGTATATAACTAGGCATGGAGTGGCGACACCATTTTACATTACCACCAGCATGCACCAAGTTTCCAGTTTCTCCACATCTTTGTCAATGCTTGTTCTTTTCCATATCTTCTTCAGAGAAACGTCTCTCTAAAAATCAATAAACATATCCTCGGGTGAGGATTTTTTTTTAAGGGCAAAGGACCTGAATAGACACTTCTCCAAAAAGGACATACACATGGCCTATAGACATATAAAAAGATGCTCAATGTCCTAATCATCAGAGAAATGCAAATTAAAATCACTTCACACCTATCAGAACGGCTATTATCAATAAATCAATAAACAAGTGTTGGCGAGGATGTGGAGAAAAGGGAACCCTAGTGCACTGCTGGTGGGAATGCAGATTGGTGCAGTCACTGTGGAAAATAGTATGGAGTTTCCTCAAAAAATTAAAAATGGAAGTGCTTTATGACCCAGTGATTACAATTCCAGGAATATATCCAAAGAAACCCAAAACTCTAATTTGAAGGAGTATATGCACCCATGTGTTCATTCAGCATTATTTACAACTAGAGGCCCGGTGCATGAAAATTCATGCACTGGAGGGGGGGGTCCCTCAGCCCGGCCTGCCCCCTCTCACAGTCCAGGAGCCCTCAGGGGCGGGAGGCGACCTGGCGATCAGGGGAAGGCGACGCCCCATCACACCTCTGCTGCCGCCACTGCCAGCAGCACAAGCCTCAGCCGGCCCTGGTTACCTGAGCCTCGGGCGGCCCTGGGCGGCTGGGCAGCCGCCATTCAAGGCTTGCCTGCACCTCGGGCCAGCCCTGGGCGGCTGGGGGGCTGAGGAGACTGGGCGCCACCATCTTGTGGCTGTGGGTGCCGCCATCTTTGAGGGCAGGGCAGTAAACTAGCATATTCCCTCCTTATTGGCTGTGGGTGCCACCATCTTTGCGACGGCATGAGGGTCCATTAGCATATTCCCTCTTTATTAGATAGGATAGGCAAGATTTAGAAGTAGCCCAAGTGCCCATCAGTAGGTGAGTGGGTAAAAAAGCTGTGGTACGTTTACACAATGGAATAATACTCAGCCATAAGAAGGAGGAAATCTTACCCTTTGCAACAGCATGGATGGACCTGGAGAACATTATGCTAAGTGAAATAAGCCAGTCAGAGAAAGACAAGTACCATGTGATTTCACTCATGTGGAATCTAATGAACAAAATAAACTAACAAGTTGATTCTGTCAATTCTGCCAGCTTATTGGTTGTTTCATTGGAGGGCCTGATTCTTGGAGCACCACCACTGCCATTTTCCATGATGTCACTATATATTTTTTTAACTTTTAATTTTGACATTATTATAGATCCACAGGAAGCTGCAAAGATGGTACAGGAATGCCGCGTGTACCTTTCACCCACTTTCCCCTAATAACATCTTATATAATTATAATACAATATCAAAAACAGGAATTCAACACATACAACACAGTGAATTTTAAAAGATCACTTCAAGCCAGGCTTAGCCGTATGAAATTTCCCGGATCAAAGATAAAAAGATCCTAAAAGCTTTGAGAGAGAAAAAAAGCCCCACGCGGAGACCAAGAACCAGAGTGCAAAACAATGGAGCAATGCCTCCACACTTCCGGGTGAAAGTGTTTTTTATCTAGAATCGTAAATGAAGCGCGAGAACAGGAGACATTTTCAGATGTGCTCAGTCCTAGGCCAGTGATGGCAAACCTATGACACGCGTGTAGGAGGTGACACGCGAACTCTTTTTTTTGGTTGATTTTTCTTTGTTAAATGGCATTTAAATATATAAGATAAATATCAAAAATATAAGTCTTTGTTTTACTATGGTTGCAAATATCAAAAAATTTCTATATGTGACACGGCACCAGAGTTAAGTTAGGGTTTTTCAAAATGCTGACACGCCGAGCTCCAAAGGTTCGCCATCACTGTCCTAGGCGCTACCACAAGAGTCCTTTCCAGTCGGGAACTGGGAAGAGAAGAGGCAGGGAGCCCAGGAGACAAGGTTCCAGGACAGGAGGCGGCCTAGGAAGTGCCCGGAGTGAAGACAGCCCTGCAGCTGCTGGGCCACAGGAGAGTGAGCGAGACCAGGCTCCCAGGAAGGGCAGCGCCAGGGAAACAGGAGAGGATACCCTGTGGGAGACGATGTCGCGGGGCACTGCAGAGAGTGGGTGAAGAGTGTAGGAGGACTCAGCCAGACTTCTAAGAAATAAATAGATGAAGAGAATGAGATCAGTATTACCTTCAAGGGAAAAAACTGATATCAGAAAACATAATTCTGGTATTTACGTTTGGCTTGTTAAAAAATAATAGTAATATATTTTCAAAACGTTGGAATTTCTGAATGTGCTTTTAACCATACATTATAATATAGCTGCATTGGGGAAGTGCGGGAGGGAGAGAAGCTGTGAGAGATAAAATAATAATCCACCACCACGGGAAGTCAACAGACCACATCTAAAATTATTGAATCAAGAAAAAAGCAGAATATGCCTATTTATTTAGAAATCTAGCAGTAAATGGCAGAAACAGCCAAGAGTTCAGAGTCCTCTCAGAAGGGGCAAACCTTGCAGTGCAGAAGGGGTAAGAGTGTTTGTTTTTGACATAAAAACTCTATTTTGCCTTAAGCTTTATGCATAAAATAGTCTAATAAAATAAAAACGAGTAATTTCATGTTGGATTGGAAGTACTATTATCAAACAAAAAGCAATACCTAATAAAACAGTGAAACACAGGTTCTACCCGTCCTTTACGGAGGAGGCCTTCTCTAAAGGTTTTATAATTTGAAAGATATTGAAAGAGACTGTACATTTTACTTTTGAAAACTCCCAATTTGGAAAGCGCCGTCAAGCTGACAGGATAGCAGTGGTTCTCCATGAAGACAGGTCTGAATGGGGAGAAGGGGCCCTGGCCTTCGGCACTTGGGGTCGCTGGTCCCAGATGGCAGGACAGACGAGGTGCAGGCCCAGGACAGAGCTTTGCTCTCCTGACCAATTCTGCCTCTGATTGGAGAGCTCACAGTCCTGTCAACCACACATGTCACCATTGGGGGGGGGGGGGGACGCCCCTGCTCTAGCGTGTGCAGATTTGCGCAGTGATGAGGGGAAGAGAGGGGTCCATGGCAACACCATCTGAAACGGCAGATGGTAACCAGCTATGTGTGAAGGGACTGGTGGTGAAGACTGTTATTTAAGAGGCAGGGGAGGGAAACGGGCAGCGATCTGAAAAGAGAAAAGCTATTTAGTGCTTTCCCAAGAACTGGCAAGAAAGAGCCGGGAGCTGTTGCAAAGGAGAAAATAGACAAAGGCACAAGAACAGTCTGACTAAACGCTGGCATGGGGGCGGCTGGGCTGTGGGCAGGGCCGGCTCCCAGGACCCTGCTCGGCAATCAGGATGACGAAGTGGCAGCTTCGTGGCCCCTGTCCTCCTCCTGTGAGAGGTCGTCTTCCTCTGGGTCTCACTCTGCAACAGAGGAGCTCCTTCTGCACCTCGGCCGAGCTTCCTGTCCTGGGGTCACCATGGAGGAGCCCGGCGGAGGCTGTGAGCAGGCAGGAGGCGGATTCCAGCAGATTCCACACCTCTCCCAGACTGGGCCCTTGAATCGTATTCAGGACTCGCTTCTTTCTTCCTTTCTTTATTTCCTCTTTGATTTTTTGGGCATCTGATTAAAGATTAAGGCAGTTTAGCTCCAGTGTATGAGGAAATTGAATGTGGCAGAGTCCACAACTCAAACTGACACCATCCCACACACCACACTGCCCACACACCGTGCTCACCCAGTGGTCACCTTAGCGGTGCATCCATGGAAGGAAAGAGGATCAGCCGCAGACCATGACCATGGGTTCAAGGTAAAGGCGTATGGCAAACCTCAACCTCAGTGACTTAAGAAAAATCAGCAAGAAGTTCTTAAAGAAGCCTGAACCCCGCGGCTGTCAGTTGCTGACTGAGGCACCAAATGTATACCCAGGTGCTGCAGACAGCCCACAGACAGACAGACCTCGGGCAGCGGGTCCCAGAGCAGCACAGCGGAGAGAGTCAACAGGGTGAGGAGTTTCAAGGCAGGAGTGTAAGGATCCCACAAACAGAAGGCAGCAGGAAACTCTGACTTTCTTATGAGATATGAAGATCACTGCTGACCATTAAGTGTCAAATCCATGTTGACAATCCAGCCACTGCTGGACTAGGGAACCAAGGGGTGTTTGGGTAGCTCAAGGGGATGCTTTTGCCACTAAAAGGAAACGGCCAGTGGCAGGTGCACGGCCGGGGGCTGGCTTGCAGGGAGTGAGAAGCTGGGCCCACTTTCTCCTCTCAGCGCTGGCACCAGGGCACAGAGCAGTCTTCATAAGAACATGTGCAGATATTCAAATCCCACTCAAAATGAAACAATCCTCCCGCTACCGGCCTTTCACAACTGTCTGGACCTACTAATGAAAGCTCTGTACTCTGCACAGGCTGTAGGACAGTGGTCGGCCAACTGCGGCTCGCAAGCCACATGCGGCTCTTTGGCCCCTTGAGTGTGGCTCTTCTACAAAATACCGACTTCTGCGCACGGGCCATGAAGTTTCAATCGCACTGTACATGCGCGCCCACACGTGGTATTTTGTGGAAGAGCCACACTCAAGGGGCCAAAGCGCCGCATGTGGCTCGTGAGCCGCAGTTTGCTGACCACTGCTGTAGGAGATGTAAGCCAGTACTTCATTAGAGACAAGATGACAAGTACTCAGGTTTCCCTTGAAAACAAATCCTGCCATGAAACAAGGAGATGGATGAGGACGAGGACGGACCTAGTGATGTTTTCTCACTACAGAAGACACTGAGGGGCACAGGGGTGGACTCGCATGCAGCTCCAGCTCATAAACCGCTTCCGCACCGCACACCATGCACGTGGTTAGCAAGCTGCTAGAGTCTCAACCAGGTTAAAGAATATGTAGTTACCACCGTTCATCATGAGGCGCAGGTGCAGGCCCCGTTAGCTCACAGCGCTTTCAGGATTTTCAATTATCCACTCAATAGCAGCCCACCCCTGGAGCAACACAGAAGGGTTTCAACATGGTGTAAGAGCTCTGCCTCCTGCAGCGGCAGCTGCAAGCCTGTGATTTAAACGGCAGTTTTAAAGATACAACAGTCACCATTTGCGAGCAATCTTTCCCTGTAAGCAGGCAGTGTCTCAAATTCGAAATTAGGGGGTATGCACTCTGCCTAAAATTCCTGCACCAGGTTGGCTATACTGACACTGGCTCCCCTCACCGGCACCGCCGCCTCCTGAGAGCAGGGCGAGGGGAAAGGCAGCCACCCTCCTGGCCTCCATGCGTGGTCCCTAAGCTCTGGCTCCCGAACCCTAGATGACCTGATGCCCCATCTCCCATCTCCTGTGCCCACCCTCGGCCTACCAGCTCTCCCAGGCATCTCCCCGACTGACCAGCGATTCTGTCAAATCCTAACTAAAGCTAGAGGGAGGGCTGATTCTCTACCAGGCCTTCAACACAATAACCCCTAAGATAAGTGAATGAAAGAATTGTATTTGGCTGCACTGAGTGTACCCCGATTTTTCTCATAAAAGGTCTGAGGTGGCTTTGGCCTCACCCAGTATTGACTTCCTCCTTGTTTTTTCACAAACCGGAGGGTGCCTGCCCTAAGCCAGACCCTGGACACACGGGTCAGTAAGGCTGTCCTCCCCTCCCCGAGGGCTCGCACTGGGGACACACTGCGCGCAGCTTGAGGCACTGTGGTTCCACCTTCCCTGAACCGAGCCAAGCGACTGCATACATTTCTCAGATCTGGATCTTTCTGAACAGTGGGGCAGATTGGCTCTTCTAGACTAAATGCGAGCAAAAACAGTTTCCCGCTAGGATCTGACTTAAGCACGGTAGGCAGGGAAGTACGGCTTAGGCAGCAGCTAACTGGTGACCAACATGAGGCATCACTTCTGACTGAGACAAAGGGAGAGAAGGGGAGGGTGGCCAGGGTGGGAGCAAAGGGAGGACGCCTGGGGAAGGTGGGGGCCTGTGAAGTAAGCTAAGGCGAAAAGCCAGGCCCTGCCCTGGTGAGCGGCAGGCATCACCTTGAACTTGCACACATCCCAGCTCTCTCTTCTGCTGCAGAGGAAGGCAACCTGGACTCCGGGATAGTCCCTGAGGCTGAGCCCTCCACCCAGGGCCCCGGGCAGGATGGCCTCCCGGGTGCATCCTTTCTCCTCTCACCTCCACCAAGCTCACTCCCCAGTCCTGCCAGAGAATGCCAGCTGCCTCCAGGGAAAGCTCGCAGATGGAGAGGTGGGGCCAAAGCTACATAACGCCTATGAAATAGGAAACCGGGGAAAATCCCGCATGCCCTGCCTGACGACGTAAACACACATCATTTAATGTGTGGGGTTGTTTAATAACTGAGCCTGTTATTTCAGCTCTTCGCCTCGGCTGGCTTTACCCTGCACTTTTCCCTCGGATGGGCACGCCTCCCTTGCTGCCAGTTTTGAAGGTAAATGTGGAACACGATGCAGCAGTACAAGCTAAACTAGACAGCGGGCCCCGCACGCATTTCACCCGCTTCCCCTGGCACCTAACAGCCAGAGCGCACACAGGGCCGGACGGAGAGCCATACCTTCTTTGCGTTGGATGATATTGTGTTGGCCATTAAGCCTTCCAAGTAGCTACCAAGGCTGATTCCCTTCACGGTGATGATGGCTTCCTGTGTGAGCACCGTCCTGCAGAAGAGCAAGAAGCGCAAGGCTGAGCGGCCCTAAGAGAGGGGAGGCTCCACCCGCCCTGACCCTGGAGTTCAACGTGTGGAAGCCGGGGCGAGACCACGTACATGTCAGGGTTCTTCGGATGGGGTGTGTACACCAACCTCTCGTTCACCGACACAAGAGTTTGTGAGTGTGATCTTAAAAAAAGGAACAATGGCTTTAGGTTCTACTTCTCTTCCGTTTCTTCCCAAACCATCCGCCCGTCTCCCAACAGCACCTACTGGAGCCAGAACAGAAGAAACATTTTGGCCCAGAAGGCACCACCGTATTAAGTCCCAGGGAAACCGGGTCCTGGCTGCTGTCACTGGCCTCTCTCCACCCAAACCTGAGCTGGGCCTGGCCTTCCAGGGACAGTAGCCCCCACTTTTTGAAAGTTTGCATACGCTACTTTGCTTTTAGGAAAGACCTACATCAGTCCCTGTTTTTGCTAACTGGTAGAAATTTGAAGAGGATCTTTGCTTTTATGAAAAAAGGTGACAAGCAAAAACAGCGTTCAGGAGCCACGCTCAGCATCTCTGCAGCAAGCCCCGGCCAGAGCTGCGAACTGTCTGTGAGCACTTGCGCTGTATCTCCATTTATTTTGTGCATCGTTACCAAGATGTGTCCTAATGAAACTGCTCCTTCACGTTACACCATTTCGGCTTACCTAAGGTTTCATAGGAACACTCTACTTTTGGATAGTGAGAGAACCTGTATTTTCAAACCTACAAACCCTCAGCCAAAAAAGGACAAAATATCCCTGGGCTAGCATGCAGGTAAACGAGTGGGAGGCTTCTCGCCCACCAGGGCAGGCTCTGGCTTTGGGACACTGTGTCCTGGGGTTTCACAGGGCAGCGCCCTGAGTCTGCACAGAGTGTGAGAGCAAGGTATATAGCTATCCCCTTAGTGCTGTGTCCTGTAAACCAACTAGCCCCCGCCCATGTACATTTTTAATATTTTCTATTAAAAACTACTTGAAAACTGGAGCTCTAGAACAGCACGGTCCCACAGAATTTTCTGTAATATTAGAAATGTCCTGCCCAGCCGGCGTGGCTCAGTGGTTGAGTGTCCACCTATGAACCAGGAGGTCACAGTTCGATTCCTGATCAGGCACATGCCTGAGTTGCGGGCTGGATCCCCAGTAGGGACTGTGCAGGAGGCAGCCAATCAGTGATTCTCTCTCCCTCTCCCTTCCTCTCTGAAATCAATAAAAATATATATATTAGAAATGTTCTATGTCTGAGCTGTTCATTGTCGAAGTCATTAAACGTGTGTGGCCAGTGAACACTTGGAATGTGGTTAGTGTGCAGGGGAACTGAATTTTTAATTTTACTTAATCCTAATTAATTGAAATGGAAATAGCCACATGTGGCTGCCAATGGAATTTTATCTTTGTTTAACCCAATTTACTCTCTTAGCAAAGAGCCAATTCCAATATAAGACCTTTTTTTTTTAAAGTTCAAGTGGTCAAAGGCAATGTAATCTTCCAGCAATGATAAGCTTGAAGCACTTATACTTTCTCCTGTAATCATCTCTCACTGAGCTCCGAGCCTGGCCTCAGAGTCCGGGAAAGTGGTTAGCAGAGTAGTCACAAGCTCATTAGTTACAGTGAATACAGTGTATGGAAATATTTATCAACATTAACAACTAAACTCCGATTAGCTACTATCTTTTTATGTGCAATGTTTTTATGCCTGCTGTATTTTGTAAACCTTATTTCCTTTCATTAATTCTCATAACAATACTATGAGATTTGTCCTTTTTTCTTTTTAAGACGAGGAATGTGGGGGCCAGAAAAGGTTAATAAGGAACACATGCAGTCATACAACCATTCCATGATAATTTCAGGATAGGGTTCACAACTGTCCTACGCATACCCTATTTCCTTTCCACTGGACCTCACTGTAGCAAGAACCATCCTTCTTTACTGAAAACTAAACTTTCGTGAAGGACGGAGTGGAATTTTCCAAGTAGAGGAGAGAAAACAGAATATGTAAATTGTCAGCTTTGGCCGATGAGGGGACACACCTGCGAGGCTCCCTGTGTCTTTACACAGCAGGGCTGCCTGGGACGAGGGAAAGGTCAGAGATGCTATGCCAAACACTGTAAGGGGCTCAGAACCTAACCTTCCACACGCAGAGACACAATCCACAGTGAGATTTCATAAAGTAAACCCTGTTCCTAGCCGATGCATGCTCCCCAACATGTTTTTGAATGTGCATTAAGCCAATGTACATTTTTTTAATTGAGAGAGGTGAGAGGGAGTGAAGGAGGAAAGTCGCTTTTAAAATTTCTGCTAAATCCAAAGAAAAATGAAATTACTGCTAAAAATCACCCTTGCTAATGGAAGTCAGGATAGAGGTTATTGGGGGGGGGGGGGCGGCGATTCTGGAAAGGAGCAAGGGCGGGGGGAGGGACAGTCACATTCTGCCTCTGGTTATATAGGTGAGTTCACTTTGTGACAGTTCATCATTATGTGCATTTTTCTAGACACTTATTGTCCTGGAATAAAAAGGTAATAACATCCTACTAAGTAAGTTCACCTATAAAAAATAAGCGATCCTTCAGACCAAAAGTGGGCTGAACATAAAGTTAAATGAAGCCATTACGCACCATCACCAAGACATACCAAGCACCTTTCTCATCCTAGGGCCATTGCTTACATTGGTGGAACAAAGTTCCATTTTCTTTTCCACTGGATCCACAACAGAATGTTCTCTGATGTATGTTAAAGTCCTACTGGTTCCCAAAATCTAAAAAACAAAGCAAAACTAGCATAATGGTATGTTACACTGTCATTCTGTAGCATCAAACACAAAACACCATTTCATTTACTCATTTGTACACGGGTGGGGGTGCACCATGAACCTGTGCGGTAACTTCAGGTTTCTGTTCTAGCAGGTGGGAGAGACACTGGACAAATGAATGAATTCAAGTAGACTTGAGTGTATGACAGTAATGAATGCTTTGATGAAAAAGAAAATGGGGGTGGGGGCAGGAGTGCAGAGAAGGCCCCCCTGCCAGTGGCAGAGCCTGGGAGGGAGGAAGGGTGCCATGCAGAGTTCTGGGGTGGGCAAGGGTCAACCATGTGAGGAGGTGGTGGGCGGGCAGGTGTCTTTGAGCGAAGGAGAAGCTAGAACAGACCCATCCCTCACGGTCCTCAGAGGAAACTACCCTGCCGGCACCTTGCTCTTGGACTTCCAGCCTCCAAAACAGAGAAAATGTCTGTGGTTTAAGCCCCCAAATCTGTGGTGTTTCATTTTGGCAGCCCAACAGATGCAACACCGTGGAGCGAGGCGGGAGGGGATTCTGTGCTGGCGGGGCTGAGGGCGGAGCCATGCCACGTATCAGGAGGTGTGTCAGGACCATGGAGATGGACCTGTTTCATGATGTTTGCAGAGGAACAAACCATCTCTTGGGCTTCCTAGAAATCCCGAGTGGGCGCTCTAATGGGAGGTAGTCATTTCCTGCAGATGGTGCCAGCTGGGGGCAGAGTGGGTGTAGGCAGGGTGATGCAGGTGTGGTGGGAACAAAGCCGGCACCAGCTGGGTGGTGCAGGTGTAGCGGGCCGGGCAGGTCCCAGCGGGGGCAAGCAGCTGTGGGCTCACCGCTTTCACGAGGGCAGGCAGCCCCCACTCGGTGCTGAGGAGGCGGTGGCTGTGAAGCCGGCCGCAGCGGTCCACACTGCGCTCCAGCACATCGACTCCCACCACACAGGGATTCATCGGATTCGGGTACTTCCTCATAGCAGCCTTGATGACCGTGTCCCATGGGTGGCTGGAGGGAAAATACAATCACTCCGCATAAGCAAGCAAACCTTTTGTAGCGTGTACCAGAGTGGCGCTGGGAGCCAGCGATGCTGTGTGCCACAGAGTGAAATGAATAAAGTTTTTTCTTTTGGTTTTAATTAAAGGCATAGCCAACAAATATATATCAGGAGTCCAGCTCCGACCTACATCCTGGATCCTGGGATCCTGCTGAGCCGACCATAGGCAATCAGAAGGCTTTGCACCAGGCTGCGCAGGGAACCTGGGGCACGAACAAGAACTCGGGCCCCTGGCAGCTGCGCTCATGCCCATCTCATCTGGTCTGCATTCCCAGTCCAGAAGCTCGCACAGGCCACCTCACCACTTTCCTTCCCTGTGGCTCAGCACTTTTCCTGTTCCCGCAATTCCTCCTCCCTCTCCCGCCCTCCCTCCAGTCCTTAAAGAGATAAAAGCTTTAGTTTAGGGCTTCTGAGCAGGGAGACAATTCTCCCCACCCCTTGCCTGTCACCTGCCCTCCCCTGCTGTTCCATCAGGTGACGAAAGAAACTCGAGGGAGCGGGCACCATTTCGGACTCTTGCCTGCACTGTTGCAGTGACTAAAGGCTTGGCTCACGGTGGCCATGGTGGAGTGGGAACCCATCCCCAGGGCGTGAGGCCTCTGCCCCACTGCAGGCCGGCTAACCCGAGGGCAGTGGGAGGCCTCGTTCCCTGCCCACACTGGGAAGTGGGAAGGCATAACCAAGGCCCCGCTCTATGCACAGCGAGGGTGTAGAGAAGCGGTTCTCAACCTGTGGGTCGCGACCCCTTTGGGGGTCGAACGACCCTTTCACAGGGGTCGCCTAAGACCATTGGGAAACACATATATAATTACATATTGTTTTTGTGATTAATCACTATGCTTTATGTTCAATTTGTAACAATGAAATTGGGGGTCACCACAACATGAGGAACTGTATTAAAGGGTCTCGGCATTAGGAAGGTTGAGAACCACTGCTGTAGAGACAAGGGGTGGGATTAAATTACAGGACGTCTGGGATTTGTCTATAATAAATTGGAGGGAAGAACAGTAGGTGGGGACGCGTGAAACCAGACTGGCTGCGAGAGGGGAACTGTCGACCTGGAAGATGGCACTGGGCCCCGTCATTCTAGTCTTCACTTTTGCATACTTTTGAAATTTCCCTAACAGCAAGTTTTTTAAAAAAGGATGAGGGCAGCCACAAACCAGGCAAAGTCACCTGCACCCCCTACTTGAAGCAAGTCTAAGCCCACATCTGAGCGCGGTGCACACACCCAGAGGCTCCCATACTCCTTCAGGAGGTCTGCGAGGTCAAAACTGCTTCGTGATGCTACTACGACATGATGTGCCTTTTTCACTCAACTGACATTTACGCTTCAAAAGCATCGGCGGGTAAGACTGCTGGCCTCTCCCCACGAATTAAAGCCAGGGCCCCAAACCACACTCATGGCCACTGCTCACTGCTGTGCACTCGGGGAAACCACGCCACCTTTCTTAAGATTATCCACGATGAAAGAGTAAAATTATATTTGGTTACATCTAAACCCCTGAGTACTTTTCTTTTAATATTCTGACCACAAGAAAGCTAAGACCCATACTGGGATTAGATACCCCACTATGCTTAGCCCTAAACCTAAACAACTTATATAACAAAATTATTCCCCAGAGTACAAAATTATTCCTAGTAGTACTCAGAGGACTTCACGGTGTTTTATATCCCTCTAGAGCAGTGGTTCTCAACCTTCCTAATGCCGCGACCCTTTAATACGCATGTGGGCGGACCCGCCTGGAGACGGATAGAGGAGTGGTGTCTCGGTTCCTAAGACCATCGAAAATATGTGTTTTCCGATGGTCTTAGGCGACCCCTGTGAAAGGGTCGTTCGAACCCCAAAGGGGTCGCGACCCACAGGTTGAGAACCGCTGCTCTAGAGTCTAGAGGAGCCTGTTCTATAACTGATAAGCCCCGATAAACCTCACCAACCCTTGCCAATTTAGTCCGGATGCCACCATCTTCAGCAAACACTAAGAAGGAATTACAGTAAGCACAAATATAAGACATAAAAACGCTGGGTCGTGGGAAGAACACCTGGAGCACTTAGCTGTCTAAGGAGGCCGGGGAAGTGCTGGGCAGCTGTGGGTGGTGGGCCCAGCTGGCTGCTTCCTTCCACGCTCCTCACTTCTACTAACTGGTTATCCGGCAGACATTTTCTCAAAAATCAATGAGATGGGCCCATCACTTCAAGGAAAACAACTGATAGTATTTGTTGCCAAAGATAAAATTTGAGTTTTGAGTGAAAATTTCAAAAACTTGTATCCACTCCCATGAGGCCCCATATTGTAACCAGGTAAACTCATATACTCCCAATGACCAGTGCCAGATGCCACAAAATCATACAACAGTGAGAGACTCATTTAAAATTTTGGACAGGCCAATTACTCTGGTCATTATGGTTTCAGATTTTACACTTGTCTTGTTGTAGTAGCAAAAAATAGCCACAATTACTTTAAAAGACCATTAAAATACTCCTACCTTTTCCAGTGTTTTATTCACACACTATGTGAGGCTGGATTTTATTCATATACTTCAAACAAAACAAGACTGTAAACACTGAATGCAGAAGCAAGATATGAATATTAAGCCACCTTTTATTAAGTCAGACACTATAGAAATTAGCATAAAAATAGTATCACTTTTCTTACTAATTTGGGGGGTATTTTGGAAAATACAGGGTTTCAAAATAAAAAATGTTATGTTCATGTAATAGTTTTATGGTTCATTTTAATTCATTAATAAATATCATTTGTCAGTTTTAATTTCTAATATGGTAAATATAGATAGCTATAATTCACATAAACAAAAACTGTTTGGGTTTCCCAATATTTTCTTAGATAATAAAGAAG